GGGGGCAATATGCTGACTCTCTGTAAACCGCTTAGAGAGGGCTGAAAGCCCTATGAAGCGGTATATAAGTCTAACTGCTATTGCTATTGCTATAGTTCTTTAATACTCTATATCAGGGGTGTCAAACTCAGGCCAGATCCAACCTGCAGGGTTCTTAGATCTGGCCCGTGGGAAATATAAAAAGACCAGACTGCGGTGCCTCTGCCAGCCAAAACGGGGTGCAGGGGAGCTGCGTGCGGCTCCCTGTAGGCCTTTTTTCAGCCTCAAGGGTCTCCTGCAGCACTCTGCTGGCTGAAAATGGGCTGCAAGGGGAGGGGGGCGCTCACATGCCTCCCACTATGGGACGTTTTTGGCCTCCATTGCTCCTACAGCACTCTGCTGGCTGAAAACGTGCCCCTCCCCCCAGCACTCTGATTTGGCCAGCAGAGGCACTTTTTATATTTCTAGGCCAGTCCCATGGTCCACATCTATTTTTTTTTATTTCATTTTTTTAAAATGTTGTCAAGCATGTATAAGATAAGAGACATAAGTCTAAACATGATTATGAACATAGGAAATTGATACGAATAAGTGGGGACAGTAGGACAGGGACGGTAGGCACATTGGTGCGCTTATGCACGCCCCTTACAGACCTCTTAGGAATGGGGTGAGGCCCACAGTAGACAGTTTAAGATTAAAGTTTTGGGGATTTGGGAATGTAACGCTGAAGTAGTCCTTGACCGGTAGGACATTGTAGCAGATAATTTTTTGTACTACGCTCAGGTCAGACCGAAGGCAGTGTAGTTCTAAGTTGTCTAAGCCCAAAACGTCAAGCCTGGTGATATAAAGTATTCTGTTGTGAGCAGAGGAGTGGAGGACTCTTCTCGTGAAATATCTCCGGACTCGCTCAATTGTATCAATCTAAGCACTCTGTGGGCTGGATCTGGCCCGCGGGCCTTGAGTTTGACACCCGTGATATAAAGGATTAAAGAACTAAGACCAATGTAAGCTTAAATAATGCTTTTGACGGCATCAGTCCCTCCCTCCCTTCGCATTTGAACCTTGGGATAAAACACTATTCCATGTTGCACTTTGTCGAATGAAGCGCTAAAAAGACAGGTCTTGTTTTACCTGTTGTGATGAAGTGAAGGACTGGCATGTGAGGAGCTCCATCAGCTTGATTCAGACATCCATTCAGGATGTTTATGCTGGGTTTTCCTAGCTAACTTCCCTTAATTTGTTTTTTTTTCTTCTAAAAAGAAAGGTCTAGTCTCATCAATGTGCAGTTTTAAAAAAATTTATAATCTGTTGAAGCCGGTCAGAATTAAAGAATAACAAGAAGCCAGAGAGTTCAATTAAACATTTGCTTGAATTTATTCAGCGATCTCCAAAGTTGGCACTTTTTAGACTTGTGGGGAACATGGCTGGGGAACTCTGGGAGTTGGAAGTCCACCAGTCTAAAAGGTGCCAAGTTTGGAGAACCCTGGATTTAAAAAAAAAAAAAGTTTTGTTCCCTTCCTAGCATTTTCCTGCAGGAATCGTCGTTTTTCTGATCGAGCAAGTGTTTGATCTATTGGTTGTGACAGGAATTGACCGGAGGGCTTGTTGCCTGAGCATGGCATCATGGGCTGACACGAGAGACTGACTGACTGACTCATGGTCACCCCAGCTGGCTTTCATGCCCAAGGCAGGAGCAGAAGCAATGGGTTCTCTGCTTGGTTACTGGGTAGGCGTGGCCATGGTGGGTGTGGCCTAGTCAGCCTCCTGCACCACAGCAGGGGGGACATTTTCGCCTTCCCCAGGCTCTGGAGGCTTTCCTCGAGCCTCTGGGAAGGCGAAAACTCCCTTCCCCGGGCTCTGGAGGCCCTCCAGAGGCCACAAACAGGCCCGTTTCCGGCCTTTTTGAATTTCCAGGAGGCCCGTTTTTCCCCCTCCCTGAGCCTCCACACGGGCCCTACACTTACCTCACATTCAAAACGGGCTGCGTGGAGACTCCTGGGAGGGGCAACTCTGGAGTAAGGCTTGGAAGTGATTGGCCCCTCCCATAGGACATAAAGGAGGAACAAAGGCACATGAGCTTTTGCAGGAAGCAACTTGGTTCATGCTGGTCAGTTTTCCTTCTGAAGCTCCGTTTGGACTCTGCTCCGTGTGGCTAACTGCCAATTAAGTCTTTGGCAGCGTTTTCAAAGAAGACAAAGGTGGGTGCTTATCCGTCTTATCCCGAAAGACTTTGGCAGCATGCTGTAGAACTCTTTACTACTATTACAGGACTCATTACCGGATGTGAATGAAGATAATTCACAGCCGTTGAAATAAAGAGGGTTTGGGGGACTAAGCGTGTGCTTTTTACTGTATCAGGAAGCCTAGGTCAGAACAGGTTTCTGCTTGCTTGGAGATCACTTTTAATTGAGGGACTGGGTCTCCAAGTAGACTACCTTCTCCATGTTCTTTTGAAACGCCCGGACCCCTCCCTTTGCCTGCAGATCGACCCCGTCATCGGTACTGTTGGCTTTGGCTCTGGCTTGCACGGTTGGGCGTTCACCTTGAAGCAGTTTGCCGAGATGTACGTGGCCAAATTTGCAGCCAGAGGAGAAAAGGCCCAGCTCTCCGCAACTGACAGGGCCAAGAAAGTGGAGGACATGATGAAGAAGCTGTGGGGAGACAAGTGAGTAAATAGCATCCTTACCTTCGGTCTCAGGTGGGTACACTTCAGGGGAAGGAGGCCCTTTGACACAGGTTTGCAATGTGATGCGCCTGCACCTTTTGCTAAAGCGACATAATACAGGATTGGTCTAAGACAAGGGTCAGCAACTCGCGGCTCTGGAGCTGCATGTGGCTCTTTCATCCCTCTGCTGCGGCTCCCTGTTGCCGGTCAGTGCCACAATTTTGAGAGGAGCTTCCGGTTGAGTGGTAGTGATGGGAGGGAAGCATGGCATGCCAGGAGAGGACTCTATGTTTTCCGGTTGGCTCCACAATTGACAGGGCTTTCAGTTAGGACAGGCAGAGGAAAAATGACACCGCACTAGGAGGTGACTCTATGGTGGGAGAACCAGACTTCCAGTTGGCAGAGGAAAAAGGACACCGCGCTAGGAGGAGACTCTATGGTGGGAGAACCAGACTTCCAGTTGGCAGAGGAAAAAGGACACTGTGCTAGGAGGAGACTCTATGGTGGGAGAACCAGATTTCCGGTCGGTTCCCGAATTGTACAGAAGGCTTCCAGTTAGGACCTTTGTGGCTCTTTGAGTGTTTAAGGTTGCCGACCCTAGGTCTAAGAAGAAACGGCATCGTTCTGACTGTGATAAAGGCCATTTTTTTCTATATTGTTGTAAGCTACCCCCCATGGCGAGGTAATACAGGTAGTCTTCAACTTATGATTGCAGTTGACCCCAAAATGTATGTTGCTAACAGAATTGCTTGTTAAATGAGTTTTGCCCCATTCTGCGACCTTTCTTGCCACCATTGTTAAGTGAATCGTCACAGTTGTTAAAGTAGTAAACACGGTTGTTTAGCGAATCTGGCTGCCCCATTGACTTTGCTTGTCAGAAGGTGGCAAAGGGGGAATGACATAACCCTGGGGAACTGCAACGGCCATAAACCACGAGTCAGTTGCCAAGCACCTGAATTTGGATCATGTGACTGCAGGCCATAAGTGTGAAAAATGGTCGTAAGTCACTTTTTTCAGTGTCATCATAACTTGGAATGGTCATTAAGTGAACTGTTGTCAGTTGAGGACTACCTGTGCAGCAGAAGAGAAGAGAAAGAACTGGAGAAGACAAAAAAAGTGCGAAGACCTGAAAATAGAAATAGAACGACTGTGGCAAAGGCTGGCAAGGGTAGTACCAATAGTAATAGGTGCCTTGGGTCCAATCCCAGAACAACTGGAGCACCATTTGAACACCATTGATGGGCATTGACAAATCTGCCATCAGTCAATTGCAAAAGGCAGTTTTATTGACAACAGCTTCCATCCTGCAATGATAAATGTGACACCATCAAACATCAACATCTGCTTATTCCAAGTCTTTGAAAATAACTCAATAGGATGATAGACAAAAATGCCAAATCCAGCCTAAACATTTGGCTGACTGTGAGACAACAACAACAACAACAGCAATAATATTCAGTGTCCTTTGTGTTTTGAACACCGAAGTAGAGTGGAATGATGTGTGGTCCTGTGGTATTGGACTGATTGGTATTAATGATGTTGCTGTTGTTAGTTACGAAGTTGTGTTCGACCCATCGCGACCCCATGGACAACGTTCCTCCAGGCCTTCCTGTCCTCTACCATCCTCTGGAGTCCATTTAAGCTCATGTCGACTGCTTCTGTGACTCCATCCAGCCACCTCCTTCTCTGTCGTCTCCTTCTTTTGCCCTCAATTGTTCCCAGCATGAGGCTCTTCTCCAGGGAGTCCTTCCTTCTCCTTAGGTAGCCAAAGTATTTTGAGTTTCATCTTCAGGGTCTGGCCTTCTCA